TAATAATAATAATAATAATAATAACAACAACAACAATAACGACAACGACAACGACGATGATGATGATGATAATAATAATAATTAATTCATTTCATTTCATTTCGTCTCATTTATAAGCCTCCTTTCTCCCCATAAGAGGACTCAAGGTGGCCCACAAAGTTAAAAGAAATAAATTTAAAACACAAAGTTAAAATAAGTAAATTTAAAACCCAGTAAATTTTACATTCTTTTGCTGCTCTGTGATAAGGTTTCTTACATTACTAGCAAAGTGGCCAAATACTATGCTACCGCAATAGCTTGCGTCAGTGTCCTGACCCTTGTTAGAGGTGTTTGTTTAACCTACTTTCTAGGAGAGTTGGAGTGGAATACTGATGGTTATATGTGTCTGCCAAGCCAGAGGTCCCAAACCTTTTTAACCCCGCGGACTGGCTGGGGAAGGCAGGGCAGCCCCTCGCTCTCACGCACATGTGCAAAGGAGCACTCTCATGCAGCCATGGGTGCACTCATGCGCACGTGCGAAGGAGCAGGAGGATGCTTGTGTGGACACTCAGGCACATGTGCAGATGGCGCTGTGCTCATGCGGGTGCACTGGCTCTCGGGCACATGCGCAAAAGAGTGGGGGAGCGGTTACATGGGGGCTGGCGAGTGCACACATGCACAAAGGGGCTGTGCTGGAGGGGAGTGTGTGTCGGGTGGGTGGGAGGTCTCTCTCCATGGCCCGGCCCAGCTCAGGCCACAGACCGGCACTGGGCTGCGGACTGGGCATTGGTGACCTCTGTACTAGAGCTTTCAAAGGTAACAGTTATTTAAGCAGTGATATTACTAGTTCCACACCTCCAGTGAGCATCCACAGCTGAGTGGTGAATTGAAACAAATCCTCCTGAATCCTTCACGCTGTTCACTAAACACTGGATATCTTGCCCTGCACTATGCAATAATTTAATTAAACCATTCTGATTAAGAATATAAGATTACATATGAAATAAGACAAAAGAACAAAAACTAGTTTGACAGAAAGGATTCAATTATAAAAAAGGAGTTAAGGTGTACTCTTACAAAAATACAGTAAATGCCATGTAAGCGTCCATCAAACCGTTTTTGGACTCTTTATTGCAGATAAACTCCTCCTGGCTTGGATCTGGGTTATCTGAAGGACTGTCTCTTCTCATATGAAACTTTGCAGCTCTTAAGATCCTCAGAAGAGACCCTCCTCTCAGTCCCACTGCCATGGCAGGTATACTTGACAGGGACAAGAGAAAGGGCCTTCTCTGTGGCAGATACCAGATTATGGATACTCTCCCTTAAGATATTAGGTTGGCCCCCTTCCTTTTATCCTTCCACCAACAGCTGAAGTCCCACGTTTCCATGCAGGCTTTTAACTTTAATATGTATTTTTAAAATTAAGTCCCTGGATCCTGGTTCTAAGTTTTTCAGCATGATAGTTTTTTAAAGTTAATGCTTTCAATCATTTGAAAATTTTGATTATTTGTTTTTTAATATATTATTTACTCTACTACTACTACTACTACTACTACTACTACTACTACTACTACTACTACTACTATAGTCAGTGACCAGGAAGAAAAAATACGTTATTTAGATAAAATCACATAATATTAGAGACATTGGTCAAGACATGACACCATTGCATCCTCTGGCTCTTTTACGACATTAAAGTTATTCTGAGTCACATGATATAGGATGAGATTAGGACAGAGGTCGACAACCCCCGGTCTGTGGCCCGGTGCCAGTCTGTGGCCTGAGCCGGACCGAGCGTGGAGACAGACCTCCCGCCCCCGCATGCACTCACCCCCGCACAGCTGATTCACGCATGCACGTGTGCTTCAATGTGCCAGTGTGAGCACCACTCTGCTGTTTGCGCATGTGCACAAGCACATGCGTGGCCAGACAAGCACTGCATCACAGTTTGTGCATGCGCACGAGTGCACGCTTGTTTGTGCGAGAGAGTGCGTGGGCTTGTTCACGCATGCACATGAGCGCGGGGGTGCCCCACCTTCCCCAGCCGGTCCATGGGGTGAAAACTGTTGGGGACCCCTGCTTTAACTAGATGAAAAATAATTTGGATTACTTGCCTGATACTATAGTATGTCTTTCTAGGTGTACTTAAAGGGTTGTCCCCCTAAACCCTGGTAGTGAAGTCTTAATAAATGGAGGTGAATGTGGTGCACATCATTCTCACCTCACCTTCACAGCTGCTTTAAGAGTGTAAGTTTTCAGACTGACATGGAAGGAGAAAGGGAGAAATATATGAGAGCTACATTTGTTTGGTTTTTCTTCAGATAGCCTCTGAGGGTGGATTTGTGATGCTGCTATAATTTCCTAAAAAAGAAGCAGATTTTGATAATTTTATTAATTTGACTGCTTTCAGAATTGCTTTTTATTCTTTCTTTAGTTGTTGAAGACGTTGTTTGGCACAAACCTGGCTTCACAGTATGATAGTATATCTTCAAACCCCAGCAAATCTCAAGGCAAAGCCCAGCGCTTAGGTTCTTCAAATTTGAGGCCTGGGCTTTATCATTATTGCTTCATGGCTCCTTACACACATTTTACACAGGCACTTGCTGATGCTAGTTTAAGGAATATGATGCAAGCTGAACAAGAACATGATACTTCTGGGTAAGAACAATTTTTAATTTTTCCCCACTTTTTTGTTGTTTTTTTGTAAGAAAACTTCTGATAAGGGGGCTTAAGAATTTGTGGAAAGGGGCACACAGATTAAAAAAACCTGTAAATATCATTATATATAGATTTATTAATACTAAATTAACTATTAACCCATTTGCCTTATTAGAATGTGCAGTTATTCAGATGCTTTTGTATTGATTATTCAGAATACTACTTTTTATGCTACTGGTTAGAATATTTGGGAGGACCTGGAACAAAACATTTTATTGTGTTCTCCAGCTCTGTAGTCAGATTTCTTATCTTTTGAAGCTCTTAATAGAAAATGCATTCAGTTGAATGAATGTTATTTTTGCTGATGTACTGGAATGAAATCTGTCTATATGTAAATAATATGCATTGAAAGTAAAATCAGTAATAGAAGTGAAGATGGCTGAAAACCAGCTCCATATCTGTGTAAGTTTGCTTGCATAACCATTCTGAGAGGTTCGGATTCAGCAAGCAGGTTCTTTTCAAATAGCCTGAGATATTAAGGCATTACAGTATATTAGAAGGTACTCTAATCAAAGCTCCAGCTCCAGAATTTGTGCTTTTCCTATCCCCATCCCTATGTCACCCCCCACAAAAGTCCTGTATATGTGTTACCCACCTGTATCATTAAAATGCAATAATTAGCCCTCTTTCCTTTACTGATTTACTGCCACCATCTCAACCTCCTCAGTGTTAGTTATCTTTTTAATAACTAATTACAAACAAATTTGGTAATACAGCACCAAACCCATCCACTTCATGGACATCATGGACAATGGCTAAAATTGAAGAAACGTCCCACTGGTAAAAAAATGTTTGAACTTTAGCTAAATTTCATATACGCCCATAATTTTAAATTGTGCAGTGTGGATATTGTAGTTTTTGGCTTCGTTTTTTCTACATTACCCTTCAAATATTGGTGACAAGGTAGTGATTTGTACCAAGTTGTCAACATTTCTGCCTTTCCACCATGGTAATCAAGGAACCAATGCTGATTTTGCCTGCTGTGGCTACTTTCTGATTCTCTGATTTCCTATGGCGTAGTATACAGTAATTGTTGAAACCTGATAAAACTTTTTATGACAAGGCCGAGATATTACTTACAATACTTCTTTCCCTGATACTTCTGAGTATACAGAAGGGAACAACTGATTTCACGTGGGAAAGAGTGAAACAAACTTTTATGCCCTGCCAAGCTAAGTAGAGGCCCCAGCGAGGACCTTTGGTATATAAGATAGAAGGAGCTTCTTTGGCTGCTTTAGAACTGCCATCAAACAGAGGAGGCAGAGACTGGTTCTCCTTTGTGGCCTCTGTGAATGCACACATATGGGTCTTGTCTGCGTCTCAGAAGATTCTAGAGCTGAAAGCACTTTAGTGATGTGATTCCCCCACAACGCATATGCTCCTCCCACCCTCCATTCCCATCAGTTTTTTTCCTGCCAAACTGTATGGTTCTCCTTTGGAAGACCAAGCTTTCTCTTTAGCCTTTTTAACGCTAATTATCCAAACAGCCCTGTTCAGGGCTACTATTTTCTCTATCTTCTTTACTCTTTCTTAATCAGTTTGAGCTATCGCTTCTCTTTTACTGCGTTTTGTCGCCTTTTCCCGCCTTTTTGATTCCTCCCCCTTTCCTCTCTTATGGCCTACCAGTTTCCTTTCAAGTGGTGCACTTCTTGCTCCAATAAGATCTCTCTCTCTCTGACGCTCACAATCAGTGTCTTTTTTGTCTGGGTGAATCTCACCACACTCATTCTAGTGCTGCCTGCAAAAACCTTACTCGACCGGCATACAAACAGTGCTTACAGAGGCTTAGATCTCATCTTTGGCAAACCGCAGTTAATCCTTCTTCCCCCTCCAGGGAGCCGGTAAGATTCCCTGTTTCCCCTGGCAAGAGACTCCTTGCAGCTCAAACTGCCCCTGATACCGCGGTCTCTGTCCCACCTAAGGATAAAGCACAAAAAACGAAGATTTCTAAGCCAAAATCGTCTACTAAACCCTCCACTAAATCAATTGATACTCCTTCAAAGAAAAAACCTACAACTAAAACTCCGAAAACGGATACCCCACCCCGCCTTGAGCCCTCTCAGCCATATCTCCCCTCTCTCATTTTGGAGGAATCCTCGAGGGACGCTCATGACTCTGCCTCTGATCAGGAGGAGATTCAACAAATAATAGTCTCTGCCATGACATCAAGCTTAATACTGAGTATTGGCCATTTCCCGGCTGCACACCCGTCCAGCCCGGCCTCGGCCCATTCCAACCCTACATTAGGGTGGGCAGTTGAAATCTCGGTTTCTGACCCCCAAACTCCCCTTCCTTCTCCCAGAAAACGAACGGAGAAAAGGAAGCATGTCTCCCCCAAAGAGACCTACAGTTTTTTGACCCTTCTGTCTGGCAATCACATTTCAAACTGTATCATACCGAGCAACAAAAGCAAGCTCATCTTATTTCTGAGCCATCTCAACCCCCTTCTCCACAAAATTGAGGTCGAACCAAGAAGCATGCATCGGCCACTTCAGCATCATCCAAGCCCAAACTAACATAGTCATGGAGCAGGTATGACCACTCACTACATACTCCTACGTATGTCATGGAATGAACGGACACTCAGGAGCAGCAACCTTACGATACTCGACAACATGAACCGTCGCCAACATCACCTTATTCACCATCTTCCTCTGAAGATGAACAATCTATTTCTTCTCATCACTCATCTTCTGATCTCCCCACTCCTCCTGATGAGACCAAGGATAACCAACCTCCTTCTCCTTCAGAAGACTTTTCCTCATATTCTCAATTTATATCGAGAACGGCTAAAGCGCTTCGTCTTAACATTGAGGAACCTTCATCACCCGAAACAGATCCTGTTTTCGACGACATCATTCAGGAAAGGTCTTCACCAGTCAGCCTTTCTTTCAGGAAATCTGTCTTACAACTCATTAAAGACACATGGGATAAGCGTCCTTCAATGATGCAGATTTCACGCAGAACTGAAAACCTCTATAAATCTCATGGTGATGACAGTGAATTCCTAAATAAGCATCCTTTACCAAATTCTGTAATAGTGAAATCTAGTCAGTCTAGGGGCCACAATAAATCTAAAGTCACCCCTATGAATAAAGAAGGAAGGAAGATAGATATAATGTAGATATAAGAAAGGTAGAAGGATTTATTCCCTACAGTCTTTCTTATTGAGGAACATCAATTACCAAAGCCACTATGGGAGCATATCAACGCTATATCTGGAACAAGGTACAGTGGTGTCCTTGACGACAATAATCCGTTCCGTTTAAATTGCTGTATAGCGAAATCATCGTCATGCGGAAAAAAAACATTGGAATGCATTGAAAAACGGTTAATGCGTTCCACTGGGGGAAATACCTGATCGTCCTGCGAAGATCCTCCATAGGGCGGCCATTTTGCGATCTCTGTCTTATGAAAATCAGTCTGGAAAACAGCGGGGAGCCATTTTATGAACTGCCAATCAGCTATTTTAAATCATCGTCTTGCGAACAATCGGTTTGCAAAGCACGGACCTAATCGTCATTAAACAAAAATCCCCCATAGGAAAGTCATCGTCAAACGATTTTGTCGTCATGCGGGGTAAGCGTCTAGCGGGGCACCACTGTACTTCCCCTTCTTGAATCAGCACCCAAAGTGATAAAGAGTGACCTTATTAATGCCCATTCCGAAGCCATTACCCTGGCTAAATACCAAAGAATTGCTGCATGTCATGCAGCAGAAGCTGCTTCTAAAACATTGGTCTCCTCCATCTCAGTACGGCGTCATGCCTGGCTCAGAGCATCCACAATCTCAGACAACACCAAATCACGGGTTGAAGATCTACCCTTCGGTGGGACTGGCCTATTCAACAAAACTGACAAAACAATGGAGAATTTTCATAAGATGTGCTAAACGGCGAAATCTTACTCCAATCAGCAATTTTCGACCTTCATTCTCAGTACCATCCCAATCAACCATACTCCTGGTCCTATTCTCAATATCAATGCCAGCGATATTATCCATACAAGCAGTTTCGACCTCAACAGTCAGAACGGTCTCTCCCGACCCCACAGCCATTTTTTCCTTCCTTTTGCCTCCGCAATGCAACTTATCAGAGGTAATCCCTTCCCAAGAATCAAAGGAAGGGTAAGCAATTCTGAATATTTTTTTCAATGTCTCCATATCCTTAGAGACCTACAACCCTCCTTTCAGACCAGATTGGCACCATACTTACCTTACTGGCAAAATATTACCAGCGACCAATGGGTCTTTGCCATCATTGCCCATGGCTACAAAATTGAATTCTGTACCTTACCCCCATGGGACTCATCCAACCCACGCCCTTTGCTCCCATCCTTCAGGGCGAAATCGCCACTTTGATTTCCAAGCAGGCTATTAATCCTGTACCACAATTCGATTGGCATAATGGATTCTATTCCAAATATTTTACTGTTTCCAAAAAAGATGGAGGACTCTGTCCTATTCTGGACTTGAGACACTTAAATAGTTTCATTCCGCCCCATAAATTCTGAATGCTTACCCTTTGCTTTCACAGAATGACTGGTTCGTCATAATCGACCTACAGGATGTCTGTTTTCACGTCTCAATACACCCTTCATACCAAAAATACCTCCGTTTTTATGTCAACAGTTTTTCCTACCAATTCTGTTCTCTCCCATTTGGACTCTCTATGGCTCCAAGAACTTTTACAAAATGCATGGCTCCGATCACGGCTTTCCTCCGCCTACAGGGTATCCGCATCTACCCTTACACTGACGACTAGCTCATCATGGCGAAGTCCCTTCTCGATGCCATAATGGCCACCCACATTACCCTACACACTCTTCGAAACCTTCTGGAAAAGTCCCATCTCCAACCAAAACAAACACCTACCTTCATTGGGGCAGGTATAGATTCAATACAAGCAAAAGCTTTCCTCCCTCGCGAAAGATTTGCAAAAATAAACAAGTCAGCTGCCTCATTCCCACCTCTTCAAACAATGTCTGCACATCATGGACAGTGACTTCTCGGTCTCATGGCCTCCACGACATTGCTGATATTTCATGCCAGACTCAAGATAAGACCACTTCAATCCTGGTTTGTAGCCCTATTCGATCCCATGATACCAAGATGCTAACAGTCACAGATGACCTAGCTACCCAACTTACATGGTTGACCTACCTTCCAAACTTGTGCATCAGTTGACCCTTCAGCCCACGATACAGGTCACTACCAATGCCAGCCCTTCTGAGTGGGGGGCCCATTGCCTGCATCACAAAATTCACGGCCTGTGGTCAAAGAAAGAACAGACTCTTCACATAAACCACCTGGAGTTACTTGCAATCATCAGAGCTTTCAATGCCTTTCTCCCACTTATCAAGGGACAGGTTGTCCAATTAGCAACGGACAATACAACAGCACTTCTTTATGTCAACAAGCAGGGAGGCACTCACTCCCTTTCCCTTCTATATCTTGTTGTCAATCTATGGGAGTGGTGCTGTCAAAACTAAATATTCCGATAGCAGTTCATATTACGACAGACAACAACTATCTCGTGGACCACCTCAGCCGTCTACCATTGGGAACACACAAATGATCCCTGAATGATACCGTATTCCGTCAATTGTGCTGTCGGTGGGGCTCTCCATCAATCGATTTTTTTTGCAATAAGACTCAATTGCAAATGCATGATATTCTGCTCCAGAGCCGGGTCGGACAACCACTCGATCGGGGATGAATTCATGGTGGACTGGTCCAAGGATTTCCTTTACCTGTTTCCACCAATACCACTCGTCCAGCGTACAATCGTTCGGATTTGACAGTTCAAGGCTCATGCAATCCTCATAGCCCCGAGTTGGCCCCAACAGCCCTGGTTCACTCACCTGACATCGATGTCCACAGACCGGGTCCATCTTCTTCTAATCCTGGATCTTCTGACTCTCAATCAAGGTATGATCCACCATCCAAACCTGACCTCTATCAATCTTGCAGCATGGAAGATATCCCAGAGGTGATGGAAGTCTTATAACGGGCAATTAAACCTTTGACTCTCTCCTTATATAAAAATAAATGGAAATCTTTTACCAAGTACACCAACAATAAGAACTTACCTGCTGTACCTGTTTCACTTAATACCTTACTTACTTTCTCCTCCATCTCTTCAAACTTGGCCTGTCATTATCCACTCTGAAGGTATACATTTCTGCCATTGTTGCCTACCAACCTGACGACTCCCCTTCTGCAAAACTATTTTCTCACCCTGCTGTCAAGAAATTCCTCAAAAGACTCAACAACATTCGCCCACCACATCAGCGTATTATACCAATGGTTTCTCCAGACAGTGCTTAACGCCTTAATGCGTCCACCATTTGAACCCATGTCACCTTCAAGCCTGCAGTTACTTACCTGTAAAACAGCATTCCTACAGCTATCACATCAGCAAAAAGGGCTAGTGAACTTGCCGCCCTTCGAAGCGACCCACCCTTTACCCAATTTCACCCTGACATGGTGACATTGTACTTTGATGTGCCCTTTCTGCCCAAAGTGGTTTCTGATTTTCATATCAACCAACCCATTATATTGCCATATTGTCTCCACTAGAGCATATGCTCCATACTTTGGATGTCAGGAGGGCCCTGTCCTTTTACTTAGACAGGATTAAGTCCTACAGGAGGTCCAATAGACTCTTCATTTGCTTCCGTGGCCCCCACAAGGGAGCCCATGCATCGTCTCAGTCCATCTCTAGGCGGATAGTTTACACCATTTCTCTAGCCTATAAGCTTTCAGGAAAGTCACCTCCTGAACACCTTAAGGCTCATTCAACCAGAGCCCTGTCGACTTCGGTTGCCTTCCAATGTGGGACCGAGATCCCAGACATCTGCCGGGCTGCTGCACGGTCCACACCGTCGACCTCCGTCAAGCAGTACCGGCTAGATGTCAGAGCAAGATAAGATGCTTTATTCGGCAGAGCTGTGTTGGCATCCTTCCTCCCGTGATGTCCCACCTGCTGGTAAGGGAAGCCTGCTAGTCACCCATATGTGTGTATTCACAGAGGCCACAAAGAAGAAAAAGAAGTTACCTACCTGTAACCATAGTTCTTTGAGTAGTCCTCTGTGAATTCACACTACCCACCCATCCTCCCCTCTCTCCATCACGGTTTACTTACATTTCTACTCTTATAACACCTGACGGAAAAAAAATCTAGGAACTGAGGGGAATGGAGGGTGGGAGGAGCATATGCCTTGTGGGGGAATCACACCACTAAATTGTTACTTCCAGCTCTAGAATCTTCTGAGAACATCAGTGCAGGCGCAGACAAGACCCATATGTGTGAATTCACAGAGGACCACTCGAAGAACTATGGTTACAGGTAGATAACTTCTCTTTTTGTGGCATTAACAGTATTAATTTGAATAATTTATTGTCATTGTAAATATATACATCGTATACCCATACAACGAAATTCACACAGGCACCCAGAGACCAGACCCACATGCAGACATATAAAAATTCCTGAAACTCACCACCCACTAAAATCCCCTACTAAGAGTACAACCTCTTAAAGTATTAAAGTAGTTTATTTTTGCTTTTTCTTAGCTGGTTTGATATACTACAGAAGGTATCTACACAACTAAAAACTGGCGTGATGAGTACAGTGAAGCATCGTGCTGATAAGGTACCGGTAAAAAAATACATTTTTTAAGTTGTTGATTGATAGTTTTTAAAAAATACTGTGAAGGAAAGACATTATTTTAAAATATTTACTTCAATTTTTATCCTGTCCGCATACACAGGACATATTATGGTACAGAATGCAACCATGTGGTGTAAAACTTCATTCTGAAGTCTAGTAAATGCAAAATGTGACTACAGTGGTGCCCCGTTCTGGATTAATCGTCGCTATGCAGAAACATCGCTAAACGGAACAGAAAAAGCCATAGGAACGCATTAAACTTCGTTTAATTTGTTCCTGTAGCTCCTAAACTCACAGTTCAGCGAAGTTCCTCCATAGCGCCGCCATTTTTGCACCCTCGGTAAGCGAGGGCAGGGCGTGAAAACACTTGCAACAGCCATTTTGGGCACCCGGCGGCGATTTTGGAACCGCCGATCAGCTGTTTAAAAAAACATCGCAATGCGAAGATCGGTAAGCGAAATGCTTACGATCATCGCAATGCAATGTTTTGCCTATTCAGAACATCGCAATGCGATTGCATTAGTGATCTAAAAAAATAGATCGCTATGCGGATTCTTCGTTAAATAGTGCGCTCGTTAAGCGATGTACCACTGTATATGTAAGAGGCTGCTGATTTGAGTCTTTTAATGCAGATATGTCTCAGAGACATGTGACTTAAGGTTTTATAAACCTTCCACCTGCTGCTTAGCACAGAGATGGGGTATGGCACTGGGAGGGGTTTTCCTCACATACAGACACCTGTAACCCATGCTCTTATATGAGGTTGGGTCTATTCTCCACTGCTCCAGTGAAAGAAATAGGTTTACCAGTAGACAATCTGGTTAAAACACCATTGGCCTGTGGTGATCCTCAGGGTTCTGCTCTGTCACCCTTCTTTTTAACATCTACAATACATGAAACCACTGGGAGAGGTTGTCTGGAGTTTTGGAGTTCAGTGCCACCAGTATGCTGATGACACTCAACTCTATCTCTCCTTTCCACCTAATTCCAGGGAAGCTGTCTTGACTCTAAACCAGTGCTTGGCATCAGTAATGGTCTGGATGAGGGCAAACAAACTGAAACTTAATCCAAACAAGACAGACGTGCTCCTGGTTAGTTGGAAGGCAGATGAGAGAATAGGGATACTACTTGTGCTGGATGGGGTTACACCACCACCCCGAAAACTCAGGTCCGCAGCTTGAATGTACTCCTGGATTCATCCCTAAGCTTGGATGTCTAGGTTTCGGCCAGGAGTGCATTTGCACAGCTAAAGCTGGTGTGCCAGCTGCGTCTGTTCCTTGAGATGTTGGATTTGGGACACATGCCTTAGTTACATCTCGTTTGGATTACTGTAACAAGTTCTTTGTGGGGCTGCCTTTCAAGATGGCTGGGGAAAGTCAGCTGGTGCAAAACTGCAGCCAGACTACTGACTGGGCGCTAGCTACAGGTACCATTGTAACTGCACTGTTACAAGAACTGCACTGGCTTCCAGTCTGTTTCTAGGCCTAATTCAAAGTGCTGGTCATTACCTATACAGCTTGCGTCCAGGCTACCTGAAGGATCGCATCTCCCTATACAGTGGTGCCTCGCATTATGATCGCTTCGTTTAACGACAAAATCGCATTACGATGAACTTTTTGCGATTGCAGAACAATGTTTCCTATGGGGAAATTTTGCTTTGCGATGATCGGTTCCCTGCTTCGGGAACCGATTCTTTGCAAAACGACGATTTTCCAACAGCTGATCGGTGGTTTCAAAATGGCTGCCGGGTAAATAAAATGGCTCCCCGCTGTGTTTAGGGACGGATTCCTCGCAAGACAGACAGCGAAAATGGCCGCCCTGTGGAGGATCTTCACTGGACGGTGAGTTTTAAGCCCATTGGAA